ACATCAATGTTTGACCTCCAGGATAAATTGATTACTCCACTTCGATGATCAAGCTAAAAATTTTCAATTTGCCAGAAACTTAATGACATGACAGGAACTCAGCTCACTTGTGCTTTATCGTTTAATGATGCTATAACAGTGAGCTAACATGTCTAAAACCGAAGACGGTACCCTACATTGTAAGTATTACACATTCTTAGCATCGCCATGTTAACATGTTAGCCACTAAAGTGCGTTAGCGTAGCTACAGTTCTGCTAGCATTGGCTGCCAGATCTTCTCATACCTGTTTGAAAGTCCAGTCCAAATGTGGTTGTGTTTCATGTTGTGAAGCAAGAAGATTTTTCTGAATTTTTATAAACATAAAAGTTTAAGATGAAATTTCACAAAATAAACCATGATGTATTTGTTGATTATGAAAGGATGGTTTTTCTTAAATATTCCTTTATCCACTTGTGTTTTTTTGTCAGTCTTAGTACATTACACAAATGTAATATGTATCATCATATTGGAATTTACATATTAGTGAAATATAATGTATCATGATAAAATTAAAAGAACACATGGAAACATAGAAATTGGAATAATTTCATGAATTAATGATGTCTAAACTCATAACAAATAATTACTATATGTTTAAATGCTAACCTTATAGTACAATTTGATTAAGACATAGACTGTTCTGAACAAATATATTTCCATCCCATAAGCTGGGGTCCGGGCCTGTTCAATATGTGTTGATCATTAATTTACCTAGTAGGATCCAAAAGTACATTGAGTCTGAAAATTAATAAAAGAAATAAGTAAAAGAAAAAATATACATATATCAACATATAGTAACTTTTATATGTATAATTGTTTTTAAATAAACCCTGCCATATTTATAAGATATATATGTATTGTTAACAGATACAGTGGCAAACATTGTCGTATTATTGATATAAACTCCATCATCTAGATATTTTTTGATCTATATGTACATGATTATTCCAGAATAATGTAATATGTTGATAATAATAATCCCCCTTGTTATTGCTTGTGTAATAGGGACACATATTGAACATCGTATTACATTTCTGTATGCGGTAGTAAATGTTTAACCAAGTGAGAAGAAACATTCAGTCCCAACCCCCATCAATCCAATCGGAATGAAACAATCTCTTCCCCCGCTTGCCGCTCTGTCCTGATGATGTTTTGACCCAGATAGATCCTGAGCGAATCGCGCCTTTTCTACATTACAGGAGGTGTTCGCTGCCCATTGTAAATAAAAGATACAAAGTTAACCTGTCTTCAATTTGACAAAGATTGCAGCAGTCTCATTTATATATTCCTCTCCTAAGCTGGTCTGAAACACAAATAACGCAACAAGTGTGCATTCAAGGCGATTGTTAAAGTGAAATTGCAGACCACAAGAGGATCCCGGCTCGCCTTTCAAAAAGCTCATACCAACAGCCGTATCAAGCGCTTCTTTCAGCAACGGGAACTCTCAGCGAAGAATTAAAAAGAAAGCCACGTCTGTATGTCAGTTGTTGTTCAAAGCTCGGCTCAGCTGCAACCAAAAGGCTTTTATTAAATGGAGATGTCTTGAGTGGACAAATCTGAGGCACGTGGTTCAGGCCGACGGATCAGTACCTGTCAACACCTGAGTTTGTTCCATGAAGCGCACAAACGTGGGTCCCAAGCGTAGGTCTCAAACGGCGCTAGACCTGCCTCCATACACGGGTCTTTTACAAAAGCCTCCTTCCGAGGGAGCATTGTCTCGTGTACAAGTGGAAAGATTTCAGTCCTTTTAGAAAGAAAAAAAAAAATAAGAGGTGCATGGATGCAGCGTGAGTGCGATCGTTTCATGCTTTTTGATGCGGCGCAAACACAAACGTTTCAGCACGGAGTGAAATTCCAGCGACAAGTGAGATCAATATTTGCGCCTCCTCCCGGGGGAATAAATATAGATTTTAGACGCGGGGGCGTTAAGAGAAAACATAATCAGAAACAACAAGACGCGCACAGACCAGCAGATCGACAAGAGCGGACATGGATGTGAGCGCCAACCCAGCACACAGATCACAAGTGTAATACGAGAATAAACCAACCTACCTGAAGCAAACACAGTCCTTAGAGTGTTCGCAGGAGAGCTCGGAGCGTTCAGCAGACTAATGAACTCTGCAAATACTGAATTTCATCTCAGTTGCATTCACCATGAAAAAAATGTGTTTATCTGCACAAACACAATAAGTTATCAACATGGCCTTTCTGTTTGGAAGATGGTGGGGGACTGAGATGTACGGGCATGAGAAGCAAGATTAAAGGCCTGTTTAACGGCTCCCCGCGGTCTATGTAGACCATCAAAGAAGTAGGTTCTCGACCCTCGAGGGGAAACCTTTGTCAGGTCACCACAAAGCACCGACCTGAAGAAGATCCCCTATAGTTGACCGATCATTGTTTTGATATTCCAAATAGAAAGGTGTTGGTGGAGTATTGCGTTGGTGGTAGAAGCACCATCTTTTGATCTTCTGTACATTTTATAATCCATCATTTGTTCAGAAGAGGAGGTTGCTGCGTTGTGTTCAAAGCTCTTCGACACAGCTTCTAAAAGCAGCCAGCACAGCGATTTGATCTGTCATAAGGAGGAAGTCTTGCTGGCAGGTGACTTTATATGGAAATATTTAACATAAGAAAGGATTTGTGTCATGGAAGACTGTCAGCATCAGTTGCTTATTTTCATGTACATGTCCTTTTTTTTTTTTCATTTTCTTTCTGACCTCAGTGGCGGTGGACTTGTGGAATGGAGAGTTTTTAACGTCAGCGGAAGGAGGCCTCGGTCAAGTTCAAAACGGTGGGGTATCACCTTCCTGGGGCGCGCTGCAAACGTCCTCTTCGACGGCTGCATAACACCAGTTCTGGATTCGTAGTCAAATATTCCTCTAGAGGTGAGACACATTCTTAAAATCAGTCCAACAGGAGAACAGCTAGAAAAGAAGATCCCTTTACTGAAGTTTAAGCATTATTAAAACAACCACACTATAGTAAGCAAATACTCTGCTTTAGACAGTAAAAGTCCTGCATTTATAAATGTCTTGCTTTTTAGTGAAAGATATGTCAGTTAAATATGGAAAAGAACCTTTGCTAAATTATTAGTAACTATATTACTAAACTTTACTCGTGTTTTAATGTGTAAGCAGCCATTTTACTGTTGTGCGTTTGACGTGCCAAGCTGGAAGCTGTTTTTTTAAAGTAATTTTTTTTTATTATTTTACTTTTAACTTTAATGAAAACTTTTCCTGACTGGATTAATCTCAGCTGATACAAGTTTCATGCTTTTAAAATTGATTGATCTGTTTGTGTCTGTACAAAATAGCGAGACCTAACGAAATACATCACAAATTACCCATGAGTTCCAAAGCAAAAAAGGAGCCAGTTGAGGTGGTTCGGGCGTCTGATTAAGACGCTTCCCGGACGCCTTCCTTTGTAATTTTAAATAAAATCGATAGATGTTAAAAGTGTTTTCAAATGCTTGAGGACCCCATGAGATACAGTTAAGTTTATTTTTATCCAGCAGTACACGGTGGTATTTGACTGAACTGTCTCGACTAACTTCAAAAAGAGTCCCTCAAACTAAACTGCACATGTAATTTCTGAGATTTCTGATCTGATGATGGTTTAGTTTTGTGGTTAGGGACAAAAACAACATGGTTAGCTGCAGGTGAAGAGCATGGTATTATTACAGTAGTTAAGGTTTGAAAAACATACGCGTCCAAATCCAAAAATCTCGAGGAAGACTGCTCAGCACGTATTGTTTATTACAGTAGAATTGGGACATTGTGCTGCTGTGTGAAATTTGAACTTCTTCTATTGGGTGATCAATAAAGGTACATCTTGTCTTATCTAGTGGGAGTTTTGTGCGTTTGAAACAGGAAGCACTAGGGAGCTGTAGGAGCGTGGTTTTGGTTCTCACAACTGATGTGGACAGGAAGACAATCTTGTATTCATGTTGCATTGTAGATGAACACCACATAAACATGACACCAGCATTTCATCACCAGACACTTGTTTGACTTTAACTGTCAGAATTAAAACTCCAAATCATGTAGTTGTCAAACAACGTCAGCGCACAAGAAGCTGCTGTTAACCAGAGACACAGTGAGTCCAGCAGACTCACGTCAGTCTCAGAGACGTGGAGCGAAGAGAGTAACTCTGAGCAGATGTGAACAGATCCTCCAACACACTGCAGCCACAGCAGCAGGATACACGGACTGTTTTAGATTTCACCTCACATGTTGCTCGGATTATTTTTCCAATAAAAGCGAAACACAAAAGCCTGAAGGCTGCGGATCAGTTTGAAACGAACGTGAACTGCTGAAATGAAATGTTTGGTTCGGTCTGAGGTGCAGCCGACACACTCCTAGATGAATGAATGAATGAATGAGCATCGATTTGTATTCCTGCCTGTAACACTTTCTGTACTGTATTCGTGTCATCCATCATGTCAGCCCGTTCTCTGTGTATGAAACCTGAAGCTGAACTCTGCAGTTGTTGGAGAACGCTGCAGGCTGCGTTTCACAAAAACAAAAAACTGCTTCAACATTGAAAAATCTTGAACTTTGACCTCAGAGGAGAAAACGTGAGTCGATATTAGCGTTAAAGCCAGAGTGCAGCAAAACAGCTGGAGGTTATTAGCTTGTTAGCTTAGCTCTCCCACACCAGCACATCTGCAACAGTCACTTTATAATGATTATGTCATAATTAAAGGTGGTGTTGCATTAGAATACAGTATACTGAGACGTGTTTCTGTGTGTTTGTCTCCTTATTTACATTTATTAGATTCATGTTTACATTTATTAAATATAATAACTATGATCCTTGATACTGACACGACATGTAATTGAACATCATCATATAAGTGTCGTGAGACTGTAGCTGTGTTTAAATCAGTAGCTGCCGTAGAACGCGAAGGCCGTTCCCGAAATTAGAATTTAAACACTTCCTGTTTCTGTTTGCTTTTCAGGAACATTAAACCAAAACAACTGGGCCAAGAAGTTTCCATCTTGCAGCAACGCCAAGCAGTCTCCCATCAACATCGAGGAGAACCTGGCCCAGGTGAAGCTGCAGTACCAGAAGCTGCAGTTTGACGGCTGGGAGAGTCTGACGACCGACAGGACGACCATCAAGAACGACGGCAAGACCGGTGAGAGCGATCACCTGTTGATATCATAGCTTTTTAAAAGTCATTTATATATTTGTAGCCATGCTAGCAGCATGACTGAGGATCCTAGTATTTTTGTTTTGTTTTTTGTGAAATATCTCGGCAACTATTGGATGGATTGCCATGAAATGTTGGTTCGGACATCAATGTTGACCTCAGGATAAATTGTACTCACTTCGATGATCAAGCTAAAATTTCAATTTGCAGAACTAATGACATGACAGACTCAGCTCTACTTGTGTTTATCGTTAATGATGCTAACATGCTAACATGCTAAACGAAGACGGTGCTACATTGTAAGTATTACACATTCTTAGCATCGCCATGTTAACATGTTAGCATAGTGCTGTTAGCAGTTAGCTCACAGTGCTGCTAGCATGGCTGCAGATTCTCACACCTGTTTGAAGTCCAGTCCAAATGTGGTTGTGTTTCATGTTGTGCAGAAGATTTTCTTGAATTTTAACATAAAAGTTTAAAGATGAAATTTCACAATAACATGATGAATTGTTGTATGAAAGATGGTTTTTCTTAATATTTTTATCAGCTGTGTTTTTGTCACTAGTTACATTACACAAATGTAATATGTACACATATTGAATTTGCATACGTGAAATATATGTACATATAAAATAAAAACACATGGAAATAGAAATTGGAATAATTTCATGAATTGACATGTATGTCTAACTCATACAAATATATATGTTTATGTAACCTTATATTGTAGACATATGTAAATATATATCCATCCCAAAGCCTGTTAATATGTGTTGATATTATTACACAGTAGGATCCAAAAATGTGAGTCTGAAATTAATAAAAAAAAATAGTAAGAAAAACATATATAAACATATAGAATTTTTATATGTATATTGTTTTAATAAACCTGCATATATAAATATATATGTATTGTTAACAGATACAGTGGCAACATGTCGTATATGATATAAATCATCATCTAGATATTTTTTGATTATATGTACATATATCCAGAGTATGTACATATGTGATAATAATATATCCCCTGTTATTGTCTTGTTATAGGGACACATATGACATGTATTACATTTCTGTATGGGTAGTAATGTTAAGTGAGAAACATCAGTCCCACCCTCCATCAATCAATCGATGACATCTCTTCCCCCCTTGCCGTCTGTCCTGATGATGTTTTGACCCAGATAGATCCTGAGCGATACGGCCTTTTCTCATACAGCGGTGTCCCATTGTAAAGGATACAGTTACCTGTCTCTCATTTGACAAGATTGAGAGTCTTTTATATATTTCCTCTCCCTAAGTGGTGTGAAACACAATAACCAACAGTGTGCATTCAAGGCGATTGTTAAGTGAAATTGTAGACAAGAGGGATCCCGGCTCGCCTTTCAAAAAGCTCCAAACAGACGAGTCCAGCGCTTCTTAGCAACGGGACTCTCAGCGAAATAAGAAGCACTCTGTTGTAGTTGTTGTTCAGCCGCCAGCTGCACCAAAGGCTTTTATTAATGGAGATGTTTGGTGGACAATCTGAGCACGGTTCAGGCCGACAGTACTTAAACCTGTTTTCATGAGCGCACAAATGGGCCCAGCGTAGGTTCAAGGCGCAGACTGCCATGCATACACGGTCTTTACAAAGCTCCTCCGAGGAGCATTCTCGGCTACAAGTGGAAGATTTCAGTTTTAGAAAGAAAAAAAAATAAGAGGTGATGGATGCAGCGTATGGATCGTTTCATGCTTTTGATGCGGCGCAAACAAACTTTTCAGCACGAGTGAATCAGCGACAAGTTGAGTCAATATTTGCCCTCCCTCCGGGGGGGAAATTAGATTTTAGACGGGGGTTAAGAGAAAACATAATAGAACAACAAGACGCGCACAGACCACAGATGACAAAGAGGACATGGAGGAAGCCAACCACACACAGATCAAAGTGTAATAAGAGAATAAAAACCTACCTGAAGCAAACACAGTCCTTAGAGTGTGCAGAGCTCGAGCGTTCAGCAGACTAATGACTCTGCAAATACTGAATTTCATCAGTGCATTCACATGAAAAAATATGTTTTATCTGCACAAAACAATAGTCACATGGCCTTTCTGTTTGGAAGATGGTGGGCTGAGATGTACGGCAGAGAAGATTAAAGGACTGTTTAACGCTCCGCGGTTATTAGACCATCAAAGAAGGGTTTCGACCCTCGAGGGGGAAACCTTTTGTCAGGTCACACAAAGACCGACCTGAAGAAGATCCCCTTATTGACCGAGTCATTGTTTGATGATTCCAATAAAGGTGTTGGTGGAGTATTGTGTGGTGTAGAAGCACCATCTTTTGATCTTCTGTACATTTTATAATCCATCATTTTCAGAGAGAGGTTTGGCTGCGTTGTGTTCAAAGCTTCAAAGCTTTAAAAGCAGCAGACAGATTTGATCTGGGTGAGGAAGTTTGCTCGCAGGTGACATTTATAGAAATTTTTAACATAGAAAGAATTTGTGTCATGAAGTGTAGCATCAGTTGCTTATTTTCATGTACATGTCTTTTTTTTTTTTTTTTTTCTCAGTGGCGGTGGATGTGGATGGAGAGTTTTACGTCAGCGGAGGAGGCCTCGGGTCAAAGTTCAAGGTCGGGCGTATCACCTTCCACTGGGGGCGCTGCAACGCCTCTTCGGACGGCTCTGAACACAGTCTGGATGGAGTCAAATATCCTCTAGAGGTGAGACATCTTAAATCAGTCCAACAGGAAGTAGAAAGTAGATCCTTTACTGAAGTTTAAGTATTAACACCACACTGTAAAAATACTCTGTTAGAAGTAAAAGTCCTGCATTTATAATGTTGCTTTAGTAAAAGATATGTCAGTATAAATATGAAAATATAGTGTTAAAATTACTTATTATTACTCGTGTTAATGTGTAAGCAGCATTTTACTGTTGTGGTTGGTGAAGCTGGAGCTGTTTTTTAAGTATTTTTTTATTATTTTACTTTATTTATGAAACTTTTCCTGATGGATTAATCTCCTGATCATTTCTTGATTAATTGATTGATTGTTTGGTTTGTAAAAATAGCGAGAAATACCATCACAATTACCCATAGTCCAAAGCAAAATCTTTAAAACATTTAAAACATTACAGATAAATTACATTTATTAAACGTGTCTCTTTGTGGTCATGTTGTATCTTTTTAGGATTAAGATAAAGTTCTCAGACTGAGTTATTTTTATTTTAATAAACAGTGTTTACTATACTATATTCTTCATTGATTAACCCTCACACAGAGAAAGACGGCATGTTTCTGACAGATCTGTAGCTCAGGAACACCACAGCTGAAGACACGGTGTGTCTCTACCAACACATGACTGGACTCGCCGCTCTCTGTCTAGTTTAATATATTTTCTGTTTTCTCCCACAGATGCAGATCTACTGTTATGAAGCACATCGCTTTGACTCATTAGATGAAACCATCAAGGCCGGAGGCAGAATCACGGCGCTCGCTGTATTCTTTGAGGTGTGTGTGTGTGTGTGTGTGTGTGTGTGACTGACTGTTCATGCTTTACAAGGCAGATGATCATGTTAACACTGAGATCAGTTTACAGGCTTGTCTGTCAGTTGCAGTAGAACAATAAAATGGGCATTAAAATGCTAATAATCCATTAAAAGCATGAAACTTTAGAGGAATGAAACAACTAGAGAATGAACCAACAGAGGGAGGAATTCGAAAAGACATATACCTTTAACTGACAACTTTGGGTCATTTTCCACCTCACAACAACAAATTACCAAATGGAGGGAAGATTTATTTAGCTAGGACCAAAACTTGAAGCTAACCTGAAGTATTACCAACTGAACCATATGAACCAAACTCCTAAATTGCCCCATTAGCTAATTAATTAATTTATCCAACCTGTTTTGGTTGCTAAACAATCCATTAGCTATCCTGAACCAAACTGTTAAGCTGCTAATTTAAGCCATTAGCTAAACTGTTTTTCCAGCTTCACTTAATCATTAGCCAATACTAACCAAACTTAACTGTTAGTTATCCCAAACCAGACTGTTTTACCTGCTAAACTGACCCAAACTGTTTCAGTTGCTAAACTATCCATTAGCTATCACAAACCAGACTCTTTAGCTGCTACTATAAGCAATTAGCTAAACTGTTTTTGCAGCTTCACTTAGCCATTAGCCACCACTAACCAAACTTAGTTATCCCAAACCAGACTGTTTTAGCAGCTAAACAGAACCATTAGTTAAGACTCATTTAACAACATGGCTGTCAGTAGTAGTAGTAGTAGTAGTAGTATTTAGCTCTTTGCTAACGACGTGGATATCCCAACAGGGAGGCTAACAGTTCTTGGCTGTAAGCTTTTTCTGAAAAGCTCTGTTCTCATACACAACTCAGACTTTTGAGTCATGTTGGTGCTTATTTCACAAAATGTCTGATTTGTGAAACTCATCTGAAATTCTAAAAGTTGGCAGAATATGACTTTATTGACGACTTCTTGTTGAAGGTGAAGAAAGTCAGCCTGAATCAGAATCTTTCAGTGATACCAGCAGTACACCGTAGTGATGCCTCAGTGAGTGCACAGTGTTCGAATAGACTGATTCATGTTTCTGGCTCAGGATCATTGTCTGTGTTTTCCTGTTCAGTGCCAGGGTTCGTACGGAGCGTCGTGCATACTTTTGTTTCTTCCCGCTTTGTGCAGTCGTGTTGCCTCCAGCCACGTTGGCGTGTTCGAACCGACAGAGGCCATGTTGGAACAAAACTCAGTAAAAACGTCTGATGTGAAGCTGCAGGCTGTGTGTGTGCGTGTATGTGTGTGCGTGTATGTGTGTGTGTGTGTTGGGCTGCAGGTTGGGTGGAGAGCAGGGTGGGAAATCTACCAACCAACACAAAAAAAGGTGGTGAATTTTCGTTTTTGTGCTCTGCCAGCCGCCTCAGCAGGTAACTGGGCCGCCGTTTGGACTTTCCAGGGTTCGTGTTGAGGTTTGTCTGGTGGCTTTGTTGGTGAAGGCGAATGTTATGTTACCTGGAAGTCCTGGGTTTGAATCCGGCCTGGGGCTGATTATTGAATGTCATTCCCTTTCTTTTCCTTTGTGACATAAATAACGCAAACTTTAAAATAAATAAAAAAGTCTATACCATTGTTTCACTTATTTAGCTGAACACACCAGGTGTTAACCTCCAGGTATTTTAACTCTCAGTAATATTTATGTGTGTAGACATGATGGCACAGAGAGGTGAACCCTTGTCAGACTGGTTTAGGTGAAACGCCCTCTTCAGTGTTTTGGATCTGGCGTAAAAGTCTATTATTGTTCCAATGAAGTATGTTGATTACATCCAGCCTGTCATTGTGCCGTTACAGCCGACATCAAAGAAACTACAGCATTTCTGCTGCAACCCAAATAAATACTTACAACTGCAGCTTCCTGTAACACAGTGATGACCAGGTGTTCCTGTAGTTGCATGTGACAACAACTAGAAAACAACTAGTTAGCAAGCAAAGTTAATAAGTAAACAGTTTAAATAGTTAGCTAAAACTAATGGGTACAGAATAAATGACATCTACAGGTACTGAAAAGTCTTTAAAAGCATTTAATTAAATGGACAAACATTAATCGGTTAATCTTTCCATCTATTTTCTACCAATTGTCCTCGTCATTATATCATTATTAGGCAAAGTTGTTATTATTGGTCAGTACTGAAGAAATTTGATATATGAATAAATCATTCTGAGCCATATAGTGTCCCGAAGGGTTTTCCATCATACTCTGATAAGTTGGACAGGACGGCTGTGAATAAGGTATTAAAATGCATTTTATGTCGTATTTAAAGGGTTTTAAAAATCTTAAATATGAACTGCAGAAAATCTGAAATAATTAGCTACAGGCAGTGGATGAATGGTGGAAGTAGTTCACTAGAGGTCAGGGATAATAGAGAGAAATTCTCACTAGTAGAACTTAATTCATCCAGTTTAAAATGAATTAAAATGAACGGATGATGGGTGGTGTTGATGAAGTGGTTCTTGGTACTGGGAACTGCTGCTCTGATGGATCTGACTCCAGTAAAGTTCATTGAGGATTTTAGGAGTTCATGTTTTTTCAAGTGAAATTTGGTTTTCTCTTCCCAGACGACCGCTGAAGACAACGTGAACTACGCGCCCATCGTGGACAGCATCATCAGTGTGAGCAGATACGGTACGTCAGCTTCTTCTTCTTCTTCTTCATGTCTCCTCTCTCTCTCTCTCTCTCTCTCTCTCTCTCTCTCGCCTTCTTCTTCTTCTTCTGTCGTGTTCATTGAAGTTCATCTCGTCTGCGGTCCAGGAAAGAGCGCTGAGGTTTTGCCCTTCACTCTCCGAGGTCTCCTGCCGAACTCCACGGAGAAATACTTCATCTACAACGGCTCTCTGACCACGCCGCCCTGCAGCGAGGTCGTCGAGTGGATCGTCTTCAAGAACACGGTGGCCGTCTCTGACGAGCAGGTGAGAAGTTCGATGAATCAGAGGCTGACTCTTTGTGCAGGTATTCACATCGGAGTTTGTAACATCTTAATCAAAAACAGCGTGTAGTAGTTGTTAATTCTGGTAGAGCGTCACGCGACACTCCAGTAAATGTGCTTTGTTTCTGTCCACCCCCTCAATCAATCATTGTCCCCTGATAAAATAATATGTTTAATTAAAATAAAATTGTTTTTTCTTCACTACGACTGATGAAAAGCCTGAAATGTGTCACATGAAATACAAATCCTTTAAGGCTCCTTTAAAAAGTCTAAAACTTGAGGTCAATGTGTAGTACAAGTTTAACACGCAAAAAACATACTGTACACGTGTTGGATATGCAGATTCATAAACTGGGGCCGAGGAAGCAGCACCACATGACAAACAAATACTAAAGCTACACTAAAAACCAACGGGAGAAACTGCAAAACAAGCTGCAGTAATGTGAGATACATGCAGGGCTGCAGAGCATGTGTAACCACCGGTGTGGTCCTTTAAGAAGCAGACGTCAGTCTGGAGTTTCTGTTCAAGATGAAAAGAAAAGTAACACAATTACAGAAACGTCCGTAAACAACCTTTTAGAAACACGTTCAGGGAGCTGAAAGGAGGAATTATCATACCAGAGGTCTGGAAACACACGAGGGATGGGTGAGGCACAGAGCTGTCAACAAGCCTGCAGAGTGTGTGTGTGTGTGTGTGTGTGTGTGTGTGTGTGTGTGTGTGTGTGTGTGTGTGTGTGTGTGTGACTGCCCTCAGGCCAAATGTGATTGACAGCCATACAGAGGCAGTCATTACATCAAACAAATATTGGCTCACAAAAGATCTTTACGGTATTTAAGCTGAAACATGCGGACACATACACACACACATACGCGCACACACACACACACACACATGAAAACACACACACACACGTGAAAACACACACACAACAGGTTTTTGACAAAAAATTTCCAGTGTGATGCCTGCAGTGTCTCTGACATGCTCTTCAACCAGACGCTTTGAATCTGAACACACAGCTGTCTCACACACACACACACACACACACACACACACACACACACACACACACACACACACACACACACACACACACACACACACATATGTTTGTACTATACTTGTGAAGGCCTGTGACATTTATTCAACAACAAAAAGAGAAAGGCAGCGTCACTTTGCGCAGCTCCACTATAAAGAGAAAGGAAAACAGAAGAATACGGAGCTGCTGATTGGCTGAAGACAGTTTGGTCTGTGTGTTTTATTTTAACACAGTCTGAGTCAAGACTGCAGCTTTAACCACACATGTAGTTTATAATGGATCTTTGACAGCGGCCATGAGGGAAAATCTGATCACAGAACTCCAAAAGAAGTCCACAATATCTGGCCAATCAACTGCACCGACTGAATTACTTTACAAAAATGTCACTTTACATTTTGCCCTTACTCTTGAAAATTTGATCTCTTCCAAAAGGAGTTGAAACTCTGAGTCCTCACAAAAGATCAGTAAAGCAGAAGGACACGCAGGTTTTTGGAAACACCTTCATCTTGTTTCCTGCTCGTCATGAATCAGGTTTTCTCTCCAGGACTTCGAGGGTCTCCGAGTCTCTCCAGACCTCTGTGACGTGTCCCAGCTGGTCCACATTCCAGCTCAGATCAGTCTGCCAGAGCTTAATAGTTTAAAGACACGACATTAACAACCGCAAAATGGCCTTAATGGGCTCTCGGCTTGGCTCATATGTGAGGAGTGTTGTGTAACCAAAGGGAAGTGAATCACCTGAGCAGGTATGGAGGCAGGCCGCAGGTTAAAGGACTATTCCAGCTTGATTTATGGCACCTCCACGCCCATTCACTTGCACAGAGCTCAGAGAGGCGTTCACTGTTCATCACATTTCACACACACTGAATACGTGTTTCGAAAAATGTCAAATAATCAATCAGTGTGATTTTTATCCTCTCGGCTCAGTCTGACTCGGGAGCATCGTGTTGGTGTTTGCTGACGTTGTCTTGTTGTTGTTGTTGTCTTGTTGTTGTTGTTGTTGTTGTTGTCGTGGCTCCCTTGTTGCAGCTGGAGATGTTCTGCGAGGTGATGACGATGCAGCAGGCCGGCTACGTGATGCTGATGGACTACCTGCAGAACAACTACCGGGAGCAGCAGCAGCAGTTCATGGGGCAGGTGTTCTCGTCCTACACCGGCACCGAGGAGGTGCTCACGCCAGGTACGTCGTCCAGAGTCCTACACTTCACCGACGTCACAGTCAGACACGCAGCTTGTGAACAGGCTGACCGCTCGGGGGTTCCCGGGCTGTTGGAGGGCCCCACGAGGGCTGTCAAACTTTACTCCCCCTTAAACAACCAATGGATGATTTGCAACGACATCTCCGAAGCAGTGCCAACTATTTTCAGTAAAGCTGCACATAGATTTTTACATAGAGTTTAATCTAAAGACAATTAGATTAAACTAAACTGACTGTAACTTCCTGACCGACTGTTGCTCAGACTGTGTGACTGAGGTTTCATGAATAAAGCACTGGAATGAATTCACTAACTCAACAAAATCAAACCTAGACAGTAAAGTTGAGTCATTTTGAATAAAAACAGTTTGTCTTCAGGTGCGCCAATTCACAGCTTATTCACATATCTTTCAAACTTTTTGAAAGTGCTTTGAATAAGAGAGAAAGATATAAAAGAAACACAAGGTGATATAAAAAGATATAAATACTTGAGTAAAACTAAATGAAATAGAAGATAAAAATGCAACAAATTAAACAGTAAAATAAAAAATGACACTGCAGCTACAGTGCAGTGTCGTAAAACCCTGAACCCTGATGATAGCGTCTATATTCAACTCATACAATATAAAAATGCTTGTAATAGAATATAAAAATAGAATATAAAAAATATTTCTCATCTCTCGTGTTGTGGCATAAATTCTATTCAATTCTATTCAGTTGTAAAAACACCTTATGAAAACGGCTGTGAAAAACTTTTATACAAAGATCAATAATAATAATAATAATAATAATAATGATAATGATTAATTTATTGATTACTTTTCATAGAGGTGAATGTAGCTCAAAGTGTCTTACAGTAAAAATGAAATGGTACAATAAATAAAATAAGGGCGAATAAAAGGACGATGACATCAGACGATAGAAAGACAGTAGATGATAAATGAAAATAAAAACAGAAACCAGTACGAATGGTAAAATATGAGAGGATTAATTAAAAGCCAGATCAACTAAATAGGTTTCCTCAGCTGTGGTTTAAAAATGTTCAGCTGATGAACTCGTTAATACAACACCTCACCCGGCTGACCTCAGTCTGACTCCGGCGTGAAAACACAGGTTCATGCTAATTAAATGAAGCGTAAATGGATCAGACACAAGTGGATCACAAATGATGGAAATAAAAGAGAGAGAGAGAGATAAGAATAGAAATGCAGTGACCTAAATAAAACCTGAGTGACGGAGAGAGAGCGGGTCGACTTGGTTAACCATCGATTTCCACGCGGCTCGCTGGTCGTGCTCGATGATTAAAAGTGAATTGATCTGTGGGGTTTTGGGGAGGGATTGTTCTGACGATAGAGACCAGGGGATCGTTTGGTGTTTACAGTCTGAAGACTCTGTTAACACCTCAGACACTCCTCTGTCACATTTACCTGCAAGGCTGATTTTCTTTTATTGTCCTTCAAAGACAGTCAAACTAAATCTTTCCCCCGTCAACCTTCCTCCAACAGGAAGTCCTTGAGCAAACATTTTAACCTCAAATTGCTCTGGATGTAAACGGAAGTCGCTTTGGACAAAAGTGTCGAATGAAATGAGAAACACCAGAAAAAAACCTGAGTTGAAAAGAGAGGGCTGAAACATGAGACAGCTTCAGATACAGATGATGTTAAATGTGTAATTAGCACTTCTTTACTGGTTTGTTTGTTCATTAGTTACAGGTGTGACACTGTATACACAACTAAAACTGCAACAGCAAATCTGTTTGTTCATTTATGTGTATGTGTTATAAGAATAAAATAAATTCACAGACAGCGTTTTTGTTTTCCACCAGCAGCACAATCTCCATTAATAGTGACTCCAGCATCATTAAACTGTTTTATGGTTCTGCTCAGACTCTCACACATGTGGTCCAGATTTGGAAAAGATTCTGGTTAATCAGCTAATCTAAAAATGGTCAAAGAGGTGGGGCAAGTTTACGTTCACTCACCTGTCACTCAAAGCGGCCACACCTTGAATTATTCATAACTTTAAGCCTTAATAAAACAGTAAACAAGTGAGTTATATAATCAGTTGTAGCTCTAGAGACCAAAACAGTTTCTGTACCAGGCTGTAAACATGTTTATTTCTGCTGTAAAGTTGGACATTTTAACATGGGAGTCTATGGGGACTGACTCACTGTTGGAGCCAGACTCTAGTGGCCGTTAGAGGAACTGCAGGTTTAACCACGTCAGTGTTGATGCTTCGGAGGTTGCTGCTTGCCCTGAACATTATCCCGCCAGCGATGTTCCCACATTTGCTGTTGCACTTGTACAGAAACATGATTTCTCTAAGACAGTGTTGGATGTATTAATAGTGGACAGGGGCCCAGTGAGGCGACATATGAACAGGGTCCAGCTTTTTGTACGTAGATGTAGATTTTCTGTTCAGTCGGATGAAAGAGGCATCTGAACTTTTTAAGTGTCAGCTTGTATTTGAGGATCAGCTGAATCTTGTTAAGTCCAAATGAGGTCATGATGATATTTTAATTGTGGTTTCTCATCAGTGCTGTTAAACTGCTCTGAATCAAGGTGTCTGGTACAGTCTGTTCTCCTGGCTCGTTCTGCCCTCTAGTGGTTGAAGCTGCACTGCTTCAGTGTGTCCTCCTCCTCCTCCTCCTCCTCCTCCTCTTCCTCCTCTGAACCCACTCTATTTCTCTGAGACTGTTGAGTGGAGAACATGACACATAAAAGTGGTTCACACATGCTTGTACACGTGCAGATTTTATTGCCTGCGTCGCAGCTCTGATGTGTGGTAGCGTGACGTTTTCACTCTGATCCCTCAGAGAGGACAAAGGTCAGGGGGTGAAGGTGTGGGTGCAGCTCAGACATGTGTCAGGAGCTTCCTCTTGTCTATTGTCATCGATCCTCAGCCTTTTTCAAAAGAAAAAAAAATCTGTGTTAATCCCAGAGAGTGTCTGTCATCTGCATAATCTCCGTTAATCTCAGCTCTGACCCAGAATCATGACTCTTCAAAACAAAGACAGGAACCAGCCCCATCCGACTTCTACCTGTTTGTTCTGCTTTAACACATTTTTTTTTATTTTGAATAATTTTCTTTATTAATTCCCTGTTTTATATTTAGATTTAGAGAATGTGAATAAAGAGATTTAGCACTTTTTAGAATTATTTATCACTATTTCAAAGCTATTGTTGGCCACAGATCATAGGCTTGATGCCAGGTGACTTAACACGCCTCTGAAGTGTTATATCTGTTCTCCTTTTATATTCTGCTGCGTTCAAGGCCATGATTTACCTGAGGGATGTTCTGGTCTGTAGTAAACTTCCGTACCTACCCAGGGTTTTAGGTAAAACTCCTGTAACAATCAGCAGTTACAATGGGACAAGGAGCGAAAGTGATCAGGCGGGATTGATTAAAAAAAAAAAAAAATTGGGAATGTGGAAGTTTTCCAACCTTTTTTGAATTTATCTCGTCTGTGTTTCCGTCAGTCTGCAGTTCAGAGCCGGAGAACATCCAGGCGGCGCCCTACAACCTCAGCAGCCTGCTGGTGACGTGGGAGCGGCCGCGGGCGGTGTACGACGCCAGCATCGAGAAATACTCCGTCAGCTACGGACTGTCCAACGCAGAAAACTCTGTCCCCGCTGAATACCTGACCGACGGAGACCAGGATGTGGTGAGAGAGAGAGAGAGAGAGAGAGTCTATCACCTCTATCAGGCCTGAATTAGCAGCTGAGACCAAGTTACTCTCTGGAAAATAAAACTTTACTTAATTAAAAACTACTTTATTTTAAGACTTGCTAAGACTTTACTAAAAGCACACTGTGTACACTGTATGTAGTTTGTAGCTGTTGGTCTAAAACATCCTCCAATGTCTATGTCATTCCACCAGGGGGCGATACTCGATGATCTGTCAGCCAACACCAGCTACGTGGTCCAGGTTGTGGCGGTCTGCACTAACGGTCTGTACGGACGTGTGAGCGACCAGCTGACAGTCGTCATGCCCGCTGACGACCCTGGTAAGAGCGACCCTGCCCGAGACCAAGCGTAGAGTTCGGCAGACGAACCGTACAGATATTTCTTACTCTTCACTGCAGTTTTTCATTTTGTTTTAGAGTAGGGTTGAAATATGGAGCAATAAGATTTTTTTTATAAATGATTGAAGATTAATTCCCAGCAGGAAAACACACAAGAATTGTTTAAAAACAACAAACAAAGTCACGGTATTAATGGTGCACTAAATGAGCTGATAGTGTGTCATAATTATGATTTTTAGTTAAAAATATGAGCAATAGTAAGTCAAAATTGTAAATATGAATTTCAATTTAGTATCTTCAATTTAGAATTAAAGTTGTAGAAAATCAAAACTTTGACTTACTCTCATAATTTTAACTTAAAAAGTCAAAAATCAGACTCATAATTATGACTAAATATTACTGTAACTAAGAAAGTCCAACTCACAACTATTAACTTAAAATCTAGAAAACTTTGGCTTGTTTTCTGTTTGTTGTACGTTTTAATTTTGATAGAAAAAGGGAAAAGTTTTTATTTAGTGTCTCATTTTGGAGTAATATATTTGACATTTCTTTTCTCTAACAAACATTTTCATCCTCCCACTCTTCCTCCCTTCGAACCCTGAACGATACGAACAAAGTTTTGTTCTTTATCTCACTCCTCACCCTCCCTACGCTTCTCTCTGGGGTCTACCTATATATGTCCTCTGAGGATTTAATCACACACACATGCAGAGCTGTTGTTTGACTCGTCTTTTTCTGTGTTTTTAACTGTTTCATAAGTTTCTCTGTGAACTCTTCAAATGTGCTTTCTCTCTATATATTTCTATATTTCTAAGAAAAAAAAACCAACATGCTTGGTTTGGGGTCATTTCCTGTGTAACCTTCATGTCACATGGAGAGACAAAGCCTCCATCTGTGTTTTGTTTTCACTTTGTGGCGTCCATTCCTTCTGCATCTCACAGTAAGAGAAATGTTTGCATGTTTGCAGCAGCATTTTGTGTAACGTGGATTGGAATGACAATCACAACAACGTTGTATTATAACTTTATATTAAATAAACTAATATGTCTTGTAACAAAGAAAAAATAATCCCCTGCATCCTATTTCAGTGTCAGTTTGCATGAATGAGTTATATTCTGCATCATCCAGTAGGTTTACGTGACTGAATTGAATGCGACACCATTGTCTGGTTAAACTAACGGTAAACTACACTGAGATAAGCTACAGTCACATCTGAGCTGCGCCTAAAATGACTCATTTTGATTATAAAGATGTTTTAAGTTTGTTACCATGTATTCCACAAAAGTAATGTTGTGAAATAACACGCATGAGGCAGCATGATGGGCGCTGAAAAAGGCTTCTGCTTTTCGAAATGTTCGTAGAGATCATAACGTTAGCTTAATGCTGCACCGACTCGGTTAGCTTAATGTTAAAGCTAGCTAGGTCTACGTTTGTAACTATTAGCCAATTAAACTGTAGGTTAATCAACAGAAAATTGATTTTGAAATGTTTACATACAAAAATTGTATCACCTTTGCTTGTTTCAGCTGCTGAATCTGCAGTTTTTTTCCTGATTCATATCAATATATCCATTAGCAACTTTTGCTTTTAGACAAAATAATTACTTAAAATAATTTTTGAATTATCAGCATTTTTAGTTAATAAGTATTAATGAATTACTTTCAGGTGTAGTTGTGATTGTGAGGTAATTTTATGACCCAGAAAAAAAAATCTAAATAATTAGATTCAGGAAAATTCTTCTGTTGGTGTGTGATGAAGTGATTATGTGCTTTTTACACCAATCAAAACAATTCAACAAAGCAACTAAAGATAAATTTTCCTATCACTTAACCTATCAAATATATCACATTTATGATTAATCAGATAGATTTATTAAATGTCACTGTCAAAAGTAATTCCTATTGAGCCCATAGATTTATCTTAAAATTAAAATAATTTAATTAATGATATGAAAGAAAGAAAATCATGCAAATTTTAGCAGTTTGAATCTGTAAATGTTTTAATTTCATTTGATAACTGGCTAAAAGTATTAATTCTAAAGTCAAAGTAGAGTAAAAGTTTAATTAACTTTCTGTTGATTGACTAATCAGTTAATTGACTAGTCTTTTCCTGTAATTTTTTTTATTTAATTCATGCCGTGCTTCTTATCAGATATAGCTCAACAAGAGCGATCCATTGACAGATGAAAGTTTTGTTTTCAACCAAAATGTCCCTCAGTCATCTCCTTCAAACCCAGTTCATTAAACTTGTAAAACCTCATCTCATGCTTCACAAGCCAGTTTGATCTGGTCTCCATGATGTGTCACTTAGCCTCAGACAGGTAAGAGCCACACCTGCCCCCCGACATGCCCGCTGTGTGCTGTGCGTCTGAGCTCGCTCAGTGTATGTGGCATTTGCAGACTCTTGTTTGTGAGTTTGTTTTATCCCTCTTTGGTGACGGACGGGCTGAGTTTGAAAACCAAAACAACTTCAGAGGAAGGTGGCTGAATGTTTTCAGTTCAGATTCCTTCCCTTGGCTCGTCTGGTTTGATAAGGAGGATGAAACAGGAAAATTGATTAGTTGCAAATGCTTTTTGTTCGAGGTTTTCTGTGTTTGCTTGTGTCTTTGGGGGAACCCATGCATGAAATTCCAAATGTGCCTGATGTGTTGCATGCAAGTGTTCATCCCCATTTGGTTTATTTTCGTTATCTTAAAGCGAACATACTGCTTAAGGTGGTGTGTACAACCTTTTCCCTTCTTTTCCACTTTCTCCTTCTGACCTTTTCACACATTTACATCCATCAAGAGAGAGAGATTTTTCTGAAGCTTCCAGAAACACAGTGTCCCACATTTTCTTGCCTTTTCCTCTCCGTGATGTTCTCCTCACATTGTTTTCAAATTGTTTTACGCTTTTGTCACATTTCTGTTTTTTTGTTTGTTTGTTTGTTTTTTTTGGACATTTTCAACCCCTAGGAAATGAACCAACATAAATACAACCCAGAGAATTGTAATGACAAACCAGACAAAAGTTTAAACTGTTGTTGTCCATGACTTTGACATTTGAAGACTTATTTTAGTCCTTGAAGAACTAATGATGTAATGATGTGCCTTTTTCCAGAAAATGCATTGGATCCAGATTCAGATGAATTTGATGAGGAGGTAAGGGAATGTTTATTTTTCGTCAAAAAATGTTTAATGTTGTCGTTTAGTTCCTATATTATCACTGTTATTTATTTCTGTCTGTAAATCTTTCTGTCACCAACAGGGCAACTATGAACCCGATATAAATGAACCTGTCCAAACCGAGGATTATGATCTTCTCTTGAATCCTACACACTCCCCGAAAACCATGACTACCGGATCACCTCTTTTACCTCTACCTGACATCAGAACCACAACAGCAGCGTGGGGTAAAAGAAGAACCAGCACTGATCCGGTTCCCCCAGTCAGATCCACTCAGTCTGATCAAATCCTGAGTCATTCGGAGGAGGCGGGACGTCGCAGTACCTCCACACAGCCACCAGAGGTCACCCTGTCACAAGAAACCAGCGGAGATGTTGACTTCAGTGGCAACGCTCCCTTTTACTCCACAGCAACAAGCACAACCAAGGAATTCTCCATCTTCACTTCCACTACTCCTTTTTACCCCAATACAGAGACAGATGGCGTTCTCAGAGGCGTCAGTCCAAAAGGTGTTGTTAGTACCACCACTCCGACGTTCACCAGTGCAAAGACAAAAGGTGGAAAAGTTATTTCTTCACACAGCAGCACCACAGCTACAGTGAGGTCTCGCACCGGTGACACGAGCAGCACAGCAACATCATCGACCTTCATCCAGGCTGAGACCGACCGAGGCCTGGCGAGTCCCATAAACGAAGACGGCAGCTCTGAACGCGGAGGTCTTCCAGCGATCCAAACTTCGACCTCCCAACCTTCCTCCCCGAGTGACGCTGTCCCAAGTAGTCCCACGAGTCCCAGCGTGCCTCATTTTTCGTCCGCCGCGACCTCTGTCCGGTTGGGTGCTGTTCTCTTGCAGACCACGAAGCCGGTGTCCAACGGTGAGCGCCCCTCTGTCCTCCCCTCCTCTTCCTCCTCCTCCTACGCCTCCTCCCCTCTGTGTGACACCGCGGACCCCGACACCGCCCCCTCCGCTTGCCTGCATGACCCTCCCTCCTCACCTTGGCCTATGTTGTCCGCCTCTGCATCGGACTCCTCCCAGCATGCCGCTACCGCACCGCTGTCTAGCAAAGACCCAGCTTCTCCTCCAACCCCCACACTCGCTGCCTCCACCCTGCCTCACCTCCCTCACCCCTCGCACCCCCTGTCTGGTTGGGAGACTGACCCCATCTCCCGCGGTGTCGTGTTCGATGATACTGGTAGCGATGGTGATTTGTTGTCTGGTTCTCCGTCTTTGTCGGTTTCTTCAGGTCACCCTTTAGTGTTTAGCGATACCCCTCCCCTCCAAACAATGCCAGATCCGTCTGGCACCGCTGTCGCTGCCGAGCTGTCCCAATCCTCCTGGGATCCGTCGCTCTCTACAGTCTCCCTGTCTCTCAGCCCCACCCTGCAGCCCTCGGTTCTCCTTTCTAGTGACTTCACCCTCTCTGGTGCAACACCGGGCTTATCCCACTCTTTCTCCGCTGGGTTTGAGGACTCGAGGTACGCCAAAGGGAGCTCAATAGAATCTTTTCTCCCAGAGGTCAGCGGTGACGGGTTGCTGTTAGCTAGCGATGTGGAAACCATGTGCGGCTGTTCTCTGGAGCCGTCGGCGTCCTCGTCCTGGTTGCATGCCTCTCCTCATGTCCCCCTGCCGTCCTCAGCCTGGGACTCTGCTAGCTTAGAGCTTTACTCGAGTGTTGGCTTCCCTTCGTCCTTTGGTGTTGGTATACACGGCGTTCACGCTGTATCTGTGGCGGGTTCTGATGGTCTCTCCTTAGACCAACCTCTGCTCTCTCATAGCGCTATCTCTCCGTCATCGTCCTCTCTACACCCCCACCTTCTCCAAGCCACCCATAGTGACCTGCCCATTTCTGTTGCAGCCACAGCGTCTGGCGTCAGGGATCCCTGGTTCTTGGCGTCAGATGGGAACTCCGCCCTCCCTTCCTCTCCCACAGCATCCCCCTTCACCCCCACCCCCGAGGGACAGGTGTTAGACACTAGCAGCAGTGCATCTGGTTCGGCCCTGTTCCTTGACCCCCAGGAGGGCGTAGATCAGGAGTGGGACAGGGTTCAAACCTCGGCCTCGGGGGATAGCGCACTCCCTTATTCGACCAAAGTCACGAACAGCGAGTCTGGCCAGACCCCAGATGATTCGGACGACCACTCCTCAGCGTTCTATTTTGAAAGCGAGAGCGGCAGTGCTATGACCTCTGAGGTAGGAAGCACCGCAGCTCCAGTCACTACGGCGGTAACCTCGGCTTCACCCTGGTCGCTGGGTGGGGAGGAGGAGAGCGGCTCAGGGCAGGGTGAAAGCCTGTACGACAACGAGACGTCCTCTGACTTCAGTATCTCCGAGCGCATGGAAAGAGAGTCGGAGGAAGAGGACCCAGTCGCAGGTAAAATCGCCGTCCGTGTTGGGGGAAAAAGCTGCATTACATCTGCACAATGCCAAGGGATCAGGAGAGAGTTCTGGACATCCGAACGATGACTAATCCACCATCTGTCAACAACAAAACTACATTTCATTTTCTTTTTTCATTTTTGTCTGTGAAAGCGAAAGTAACAGGATCCCATAACGCAGATCAATCACGTACCATTAATCCATCCATTTTGTAAACCGTCTGTTCTGTTTTATGAAGAGCTGGAGCCGATCCCAGCATGCATTTGGTGAGAGGTCCGGTAGGGGCACAATGATCAGGATGCCATGTCTGTCGCTAAAATGTAAACTAGACCGATCCGTAGGTTCAAACAAGATGCAACTCTCCAGTAACAAGTAACTAAATATTTTCCAGAGGATAGAAAGAAAAGCAAACATGGCTGGACAAAACAAAAGGATATAAAGCATCAGGGAAAATCAGAGACATCGCTAAATAGTAAAAGTCTAAAATCGGCCAGTGAGGGGAGTCATATAACTTGTAATTTATCACATTTATAAGGTGAAAAGTAGTTGGGAAGAACTCTATCCAAGCCCAGTATTTACCTGGGGGTATTTATAGTTAAATAGACCTGAGATCTGCTCTGGTGATCAGTGGTTTTAAATGCGAGAAGAGAAGTGATAAACTGAGGCAGCACCACAATTAAGGCAGCTTCTTTATTACAAGAAAGCAAAATGGTTTTTATTTATGTTTCTGATGTGTTCAAGCAGATAGAACAATGTCCAAAATTCTCAATCACAATTTGAGAAACAGATTTACTCTGGCCAGATGTTACTTGATGTGGCCAGCAGAGTGCAGCAGAGCTCTTTAAAGCTGCTGCCGAATCAGACACCGTCCACAACTATACCGTGTCCGACTACACTGCATTTTAAATGATTTACAATCCTAAGTAAACGGATCAATTCATGAGGCTTTCGGCAATTTCTTTAATTACAGATTTTTTTTTTTTAAGTGTCTAATTTATCTGAATAAAACCCGCTTCTGCTATCAACCTAGTGGCAGAACAGATCAGATTTGAGGCTTTTAAAGAACCATTCAGGTGAATTTGCCCGCTGTACCTCATTAACAAGAAATCACGTATACTTCACAGAACCTGTGGATGTTTTATAAGGGATACAGGTTTGGATTGATAATGATTTTTAGACTGGGAATCGACTGGGGAAGAATATTCGGGTGGTTTTGCCACATTAACAACAAATCACCACATCAGTTTGCACACCGACTTCCTTCCCTCTGATTATATTGAGTTAATTTATACGAAAATAAACTTGCAGAGAGTTAAAACTTGCTGCAGGTAGATAATACATCAAAATCAACAACAATCTGCCCTCTTGTTTGTGTAGTTTTTTAAATTTGCGTGTTAATACTTGCTTAAAAACTCGTTGAGATAGTGCATTCAAGGACGCTCTGAGTTTTGAGTGTTTTCTGAATGAAACATCCAAATTAATACTTAAAATTTTTATTATTGTGTTTTTCTTTTTTTTTTTTTGTTATTTTTGTTTGTGTTAACTTGTTGTTTGGCCCTCTATGCCGGATGCCGTACTCTTGGGCAAGTTGTGTTTGTCAAAAGCACCATTTAAAAGACAATTAGCAAAAGTTTTTCAAGTGGTCACAGCAACAAGACAAACACAACTTTGACAAATTGAAATTAAACGTACGTTATGGATTATCTGTCTGCAGCAAAATTTCAAGTCTCTTTAAGTTAATTCTTAATCTGTTGTATGAAAGGTAAAGCCCTTTGAGGCAAAGTTGTGATCAGGCGTATTAATTAAACGTCACTGGGTCTTTGTCAAGGCGGAAACAATAAAACTCTTACTCTTTACTTTTCTATCTGTGAACAACGCCCAGAAGTAACAATGGCAAACATGATGAAATAATAACAGTATTATCATAAAACGACAATGGGAAAGAAATTACATTATTCCAAGACATATTCATCGAAAGAAGGTCGCCCTTAACAGTAAGGACAATTACGAGAGTTGCTTATATAATCTATTTCCTCTGATTGTAAACCGGTTCAAACACAGAGACCGTCCTTTAGAATATGACTGTATCTTTCCCAGTGTATTTCCATATCGGTGCCCCTGACATTCTGACAGGCAGATGTACAGTAACAGAACTCCATCCTTCATCATTTAGTTCAACTTCAGCATTTAATCTAAAAATCTTTTCACGGGGAGTAGAAGGTTTGTGTCCTTAATTCTCGTCAGATCATCTTTGAGTCACTTTTGTCTCTCTTAGTCTCTTTACCAAAAACCAATAACCTTTTCCATCTTCTGTCCGGCTTTTTCTTTCCGTCGCCCCATTATCATCGTCCATGTGTCCGAGGTTTTTGAGAGGCAGACATTTGGATATTGCATGGATGACTGAATGAATGGGTTTTACTCTGAGTATGCACAGAGTAGAAAGCACACAACAGACTCTTTATGACCTGGTCAACAGGGCAGACCCAGCCATTCATGGCTGAACTGAGTCAGTTTGTGCAGAAGAGTTACAGTACTGACAAACAGCCTCCTAGTCAAGGTTAATCCACACTAGTGTTTTCCTTACTGGTTATCAGACAGATAAAGGGAGGATTCAGCAACAGCAGCTCTGGAGGTCAGGTTCAGCTGTCAGGTTTTCATTTTTTCTGTTATTCAAAGTTACATTTATGCTGCTTGATTGACTCCAGCTCAGCTTTGTTTGTGTGCTGCTGCAGTTTGATGAATATGTTCTCGCTTGATCTGTGATGGACTTTTGATTATGAGCCTTTGTGCGTCTCTGTGTTTCTTTCAAGTGGTTTGGCAGGTGGTTTGAATGTGATGAGTTTTGTGTTTGTGCAGCAGACGGCTGAATGTGAATGGTGGTACATTGTGTTTCAGTGCCGGGCTGTTAACACGGTTCATGTTTCTCTCTGAAGTGTATTATTAGAGATCTGAGAGTGTTGGAGTTTTAGTTCTGCAGATGGTTCAAGGAGGCCAAGCTGCTCTGGAGGCAGGAATAAGCTCAGTCGTAGAGTTTAACCTGAGTCATCTGAGGGGCCTTTAGCTTCTTGTACATTTAGGTTTTTTCGCACCAGGGACGACTTTATTTTTGGACACATCAAGAGAACAGATGAAATTTATGGACATTGGGCCTCATTCACCAACCATTCTTAAGTAGGAATTTCTTCTTTAAACACACTTACTACGACGATTCTGACATTCACCAGTGTTTTCTTATTTGGGATTTTTTTGTTAGGTAAGAACAGAATCTACGCTCACTCAAGAGCACTCTTACGCGAATATGAGTGCTGACATGTTTGAGCAAAATGAGCTGCAGCAGTACCTCCACTCCAGAACCACTAAAGTTCCTTTTGCGTTTTGATTCTGTCTTGAGATTTTTCATTTTGGTATTTTCTCAACTTTCCCTTACGGTATCTCTTTGTGACTTCTGCACACGACCCTTCAGTCTCATTCTAATTAGGGCACACTTTCAATTTACGAGGAGATTGGAGTTCATCAATCTAAGAGCACAGGTGCGCACAATTCACAAAACTCCTCTATCTTAATAAAGAAAATACTTAAGAAGATATTGGTGAATGAGGCCTATTGTGATCTCAGTCAGGAGTCATATAAGAAGTTGCTCCGCTATGTTTTTGAGGAGCACTGGTTTGACGGTGTCTCAAAAACAACTCCTTGTTTTCTGCTCCATAGCAAGAGGTGATACTAACCCTAACCCAGTTTCTCAAGAACTTGTTGATGTTGGTCTAATTCTTCTGTAGACTTCCATCTCTCAATCCAATGAAGGTTGCATCCAAACTATATTAATTCCAGTTTATTAAGACTCAGCTCTTATTTTTGGCATTATTGGATTTGTTATATAGAAGACGCTTTTAATCACCAACACTCTGAAGTGGTAGAAGAGAAGGAAACTAGTATCTTATTATGACGTTGCGCTACTGAAACGCTACCAACACTATCAATGCCGAGTTCAGTAATGCACAGAAAAATAATTCATTAACATTCATATTTTCAACAATTAGACAAGACAGACATTTTTATTATTAGTCATCTCTAACATCCGAGAGCTATATGACATGTCTGAACAGTTAGCTAAAATACTAGGAAGTGGTTGAAATGGTTAGCTAACATTAAGTAATACATAAATGAAGTAAATAGCTAATAGATAAGTGGTTGAATTAGATAGATAGATAGATACTTTATGTTTTTTATTTAATTGGGTAGCTAACAGTATTGGATAAATATTGAAGTAGCTGAAAGGGAAAATGAATTAAATACATGAGATATTCAATAAAGCTAAAAGTAAAGGATAAATGGTTGAATTGTCCAGATTCAGCCACTCCAAGTGGAAGTAATATAAATCCACACTTGACCAAGTCGACCTAAACATCATCAGTTCAAGTGTATGATGTGTACATCAGTGCAGCAATATCCACTTTTATATAATTAACAGTGTTAAATAACGTCCAGTTTAAAATCAAATGAACACATTTGGAACATAGGTTGGTGTGAATGAAAGGGTACTTTACTTTATCTGACGTGGCTGTGGGGTTACATCGCACAAAAAAGGCTGGGAGCCACCGGTGGACCACATGTGTCTGGGACTCCGCCAACTCAGGTTTGATGAATTAAATCTGCAGCCAGAGCAGCTTTGCCTCTGAGACACACGGAGACGATAAACCTGCGGCGTGCAGCAGAACGAGTGATGCCTCTGATTTTTATTCCCTCGCTCTGCACTAGTTTTACTTCCTGTCTTCTGCCGGTCCCCCCCCCCCCCCCACCACCCTCCAGACGCCAGTAACAGCAGCCACGAGTCGAGGGTCGGCTCGATCCGGGAAAGAGAGAGGAAGGCTGTGGTTCCCCTGGCCGTCATCTCCACCCTCACCTTCGTCGGCCTCATCGTCCTCGTCAGCATCCTCGTCTACTGGAGGTCAGTACGGCTCGGGCGTCTTATTATGGCGTAAATGATTCCAAACAGTTGCCTGTTTATATATTATATCGACACACTGGTAGCGTAGTGATAATCCGTGCGAGGTATATCAGAGGTTTCAGAAGGAGGTGGTCTGGGATCAGTTTGACTCAAACTGCGGTACAGCCTGTTACAATGAACACTGATGCACGTGGGTCATAACGACATGAGAGTCAAGAAAACGGGCGATACGGCGCCTCGTTCGTACAAAGCCCAACCTGACACCACATGATGTTTGGGCCAGAGGGTAGTGGATGAGGGATGCTTGTTCTTCGCAACGCTTGCAGTGGGTGGTCACACTCACATTCAGTCAGGTGTTCGGGGGCAGGCGGAGGTGGGACATTTTCACATCTAATTTTCACGCCTTCTCTGCGGCGACAGCTTGATATCTCAGGGAGGCCTTGAGGGAATTTCTTCAAATTCGACTGAAATGTCCAGTTGGACTCGAGAACAAACTGATTTTGGTGGTTAAAGGTCAAAGGTCAAGGTCACGTGACCTCACAAAACATTTCTGAACACAGTATCTCAGGAACTCCTTTCAAAACTCTTCAAATTTTGCACAAATGTTCACTTGGACTGAAGGAGGACCTGATTAAATTTTAGTGGTTAAAGGTCAAAAGTGAAGACTTCACACCAACGGCTGATATTTTATATGATTCTGGACAAACAAGGATGTGACCTGTGCAGTACACACACACACACAGAGAGAACGACAATAACAGCTTTTAAAAATTTAAAAGAATATAATTTAAGGTTTGTTTGATGATGTAACTTGAAATTGAATAAGATCAGATCAACCAGAGAGAAACAGCAGCTCAATCAAGCAACTGAGAAGCTTAGATTTATCTGTAAACAAAATATTTATATCCAGAGTTAGTAGCCGGGTTTCCATTTCAGTTTTGTGCAAAATAGAAATTATTTTTTTAAGTCGACAAAAACACAATAGTTTGTGTTTCCATTGAGTGATGTTGTTCTGCTAAAGCAGGTAAATGTGATGCGAGCGTATGCATTCGAGTTTGTTCGAAATTCTTTAACTCCTCCCATCTTCCTGTGGAGGCTCAAAACTTTAATATCATCGTACAAAATGAAGAACTTCCTGTTTTTTTATCACTGGTTTCTGTCTTTATAGGGGTAAATAATCTAATCCGGTCTTTTTAAAAACACACAGCCCTGCAGCTCCCTCATATCATATAATATGTGGAGGGGGAGAGAACTGGCCAGACGACTGTCATATATGTCTGGAGATCTTAATCTTCTCGTACACGAGCTCAGTCTTGTTCTTACATTGTGCTGAGTGTTTTTATTTGTGTGTGTGTGTGTGTGTGTGTGTGTGTGTGTGTGTGTTTGCCCACCAACATCCCCCTCACTGACATTACCTCCTGTGTAGTGTTGTTGATGCGGCCGCCCGCGGACTGAATGACAGTTTTGATTCCTCTGGTTTTACCTTGAGAGATGCTGTTTTTTTTTAATTGTTTTTCTTTCTTTTTTTTATTGAGATGTATGAAATACTGGATTTAGAGCAACATGTTTCGTTGAGAATAGTTTAAAAGTCTTTTTTTTTTTCTAGAGCATAAACCTAAAAGTTTATTTTCTTCTTGTGCTGAAAACATTTTTTCGTTATGTGGTAGTAAAAAAAAAAAAAAAAAACCCTCCCGCCTCCTCAGACCGTGAAATAACCAACCTCAGAAGTCCGATCAAGGACACGCTGTCAAACGCAGTGTAAAGACTTTTAGTCATGTTTTTCACAGACTGCACATTTCTCATCTGCTGTGCCGGAGGCTCAACATATTGTTCTTGTTTTGCAGCCATCCTTGTTGTTGTATCTCCAAGATTGAGCAGTGCTAAGCTGGTAATAATCTGAGGAGCAGGGGGATTAATCCTCAGTGAAGGATGTACCTTGGCCGCAGCGCTGCGAGCGTCCACTCAGCCGAGAGCGTCCAGAGAGGGTCGGGGGATAGAAAAGGACATCCGCCTGATTATGTCAGACAGAGGGAATCGTGTCAGCGTCTTGTAGAGTGAGCGGCAGGAGGCCAAACTGCACTAATCCTGCTGTCGTTGTGTCCTTTTTCTTACCCTCGTGACAACATGGTGCTCATTTGGACACTGCTGCTGTGCATTTTAGGTCAAGCAGTTTGAGGGGATTCTGGTCAACGGTACAAGTTTACAACAAGAGGAGAGATGCACCGTTTTAAAGGGCGTCTGATCAAATCCAACTTCATTTATGTAGCAGCTTTCTGTCCAGGACACATGGATACGTCCCTCTGTGTAAAGTGACTCTTAATATTCCTGGAGCTCAGTTAAGACACACAGAACGAGTAACATGACTACAAAGAGATTCAAACCGACCACAAAAACACACAAATAACCAGAAAGAGACACAAAATGGCCTCTAAAAGACATTAAACAACGACAGAGAGACACAAAACGACCACAAAGGGACTCAAAACAACTAAAACACACAAAACAACCATGAAGAGACACAAACAGTCTGGACCAACCGACATTAGCATGAGGCTAATGAGGCTAAAAGCTAAACAGTTAGGACTAACAGGTCTTAAACTCTCAGGGCTCCATTTTGGTCTCATGCTCAGCTTCGCAAGATAAATGAACAGAAGTTTATTAAGATTTAAGAGTTTTTAAGTCTGAGCGAAGCATTTTAAGATCCACTGCAACAGCCGTTGACAAAGAACTGGTTCAGGCTCCAAAGTGTAGTTCCCTCTACATGCTTTATTTTCAGTTTTTTTTTATACTAAAATGAACGAGTCAAAATAAAAGAATATACATTTCTACCATGTTTGTGCCTCTGTAACTTTTGGTTCTGTGTCTCTCTTACTCAGTCTGACTTTAAATTTAAAGTGTTTCCTTTCAAAGGAGACCAGGGCCATGACTGTGAGCGGAAGGGTTGAAGAACAGGAACCTTTTTTATTTTGAGTACGTTATTTTCGGCCTTGTGCACAAAAATGGTGGAGTTTGACAAAAGGTTAAATTAAATACAAGTATAATCAATGGGATTTAACTTGTGTAGGAGACGAGGAGTCAGAAACTGCAGAAACCACATGAATCAAAATCCAACACTCAGCTGATGAATAACGAACTGTGAGAATAAGTGTTTGTGTGTCTCAGAGCAGTTTCTCCAAAGCATCCATCTTTAATCTCAGAGCTTTTTCTCTGTGTGTGTGTGTGTGTGTGTGTGTTTGTGTGTGTGTGTGTGTGTGTGTCGTATATAATCCCTGATGCCCATTTCTGGCCGGAGACAACACAGGTTCATCAGAGGCGATCTCATCCGTTTAAAAACGTGTCATGGATTAACAGAACATCTTTTTCCCTGTGTTTTTGGGAAGATTACCCTGTGTTCTCCAGAATCTGGGCTAACGCAGAGACACACGAAAACAAAAGCATCTTCAGTTTGTCAGAATCGGTGCTGTGTCGTCTGTCTTTTGTTTTCCTGCCCCAACAAAACTCTTTTATTCAGTGTTTGTGTTTAATGTTTCAGCCGTGTTTTCTACACAATATATTTGTCTTTACTTTAATAACTTTCCCTGATGATAAGAGTTAGTTTTTCTATATGTATGTTAAACAATAAACAATATTTTTCTTAAATTTTTGTCATATTTCTAGTATGGATCATTGGAAATGGTGCATTTATTTCATAAACACATCCAAGGAACACCTGATGTTAAATAAAAGATCTTTTTCATCAGCTGTGTGTGTTTTGTCGACAGGACGTGTTTTCAGACGGCTCACTTCTACATCGACGACAGCTCATCGCCCAGAGTCATCGCTGCCCCGTCCACAGCTGCATTAACATCTGGTAACACGCACTGACATTTCCCAAACCACCTTAATCTAAACTTAAAACCTGTAACCTAAACCCTGAAACCAAGTCCAAACCCTAAAAAGAAAGGGGGAGACTTACTAAAAAAAAAAAAGATCCTCTCTTTTCTAAAATTTTTAAAAATGCCCTTTCTTTCCAAAAATTTACTGTCTTTCGAAACTTTTCCTCACTCAAGGGGTAAAATTAAAACTTCACAACAGAAGGGTCCCAATTTTTCTAAAATGTCCATTCTGTCCAAAAATGTTCTCATTTTATGTATTGCACTTCCTAAATTTTGTAAAGATGTCCCCTCCCCCTAAAATGTCTCAAATTTATAAAAATGTTTTCTCTTTCCAAAAATGTTCAAAAATTACTGTATTTCAAAAAAAATTTCCTCATTCAAGGGGTAAAATTCAAATTTTACAAAAACTTTTCTAAACTTTCTTTAGTTTATTTTTTCTAACAGAAGTGTCCTAATATTTCTAAAATGTCCTTACTGTCCAAAATGTCCTGTCTTGTAGATGAGCAGACGGCTTTTCCAGTGCGGGACTACGTCAAACATGTCGCTGAACTCCACGACACTCAGGGCTTCCAGCGAGAGTTTGAGGTATAAAAACAGGAATATTTAAAATTTAAGATTTCTTTTTTGGCTAATGTTTCTTTTACAGTCTGACTGTGGTGTGTGTGTGTGTGTGTGTGTGTGTGCGTGCGTGCGTGTGTGTGTGCGCGCGTGCGTGCGTTTGTGTGTTGATGATTGCCGTCAGGTTGTCTGCATGCTGCTTGAAAACCTGTGATGATATCACATTTACTGGCTTGACGCAGGGCAGCAACATTACATGATTGTTTTTAATTAATTATAATAATATTGATAATAATGATCATCAGTTGGAGGTTGGAGTGTTGTGGCCCCGGTTCAGCTTTTTGTGAGGAGCCTCCATTCATTGATGTGAGCACTGAGTCAGTTGTCTTTTATCTGTCGACCTTCAGTTAACAGGCTCCAGACCTCAAAGACTTCATGACTCCAGTCGCTTAATGAATCAAAGCTCCATTTTGTTTTGTTCTCAAACTGCCACTAAAGGAAAAACCAACACAAAGACGACAACTCTATAGAGGCCTAGAGGTGACAAAAATAAATATTGGCATTTGTTTTGTCATAATTACTTTCCTAATGTCATTGGGAAATGTTATTTCTAAAGTCATTTAACGTGATGCTGATTATATCTATTCTTTTAAAAGTGGTGAAAACATTTTCACCTTTGCAAGAAAGTGTTTTAATATAAAGATTTCTACCATTTTCCCATGTGGCTGGAACCATCACTGTTAAAGTGCATTGAAAGGTTCGTCCAAAAAAATTTCAAAACAGACCTTTTCTTTTTAAGAACAGTGTATGGCTCACACGACCTCGCTCTCCTCCATCACAGACAAAATTATAAAAGTAGAGGTTTTCCTCCAATTACTGCAGTAACGGGATCAAAGGGAAATTGTCACCAAAGTAAAAGCACCAACATTGAAGAAAAGAAGATGAGGCAAAATAGAAACTTTGAAAAAATATCTTCAGTTCCTGAAATTTTTATAGAAATATTCTCTGGTAACCAAAGTGAGGTGGCAAGTCTACAATTTTCAGAAATCCTGCTGGACATTGTTGCTTAAAAAACGACTTAAAACAACTATTCATTAAATTGTCAAAATTATTGCAGAGTCATTGTCTGTCGACCAACTAAATGGTTAATTAACTGATTGTTTAAGCTTTAAAATCAGATAAAGGAAGGATGAAAAACGAAAACGGCATGCAGGATGGAAAAAGACCTAAAGTTGAAGTAAAAACTGAAGTAAAGAGTAGAAACTGAGAAAGAGAGAAATTCATTTACAGGTTGTTTCTTTAAGACTTTAGATAATGTCTAAAAGTTGAAACAAGGCTGTTTTTATAAAAGCTGACATCTTGGAGATACGAGGGTTGTTTAAGTACAATATTTCCGCCTGAAAGGAAGTGGAGGGTGTCATACAACTGTGAATATTAAATCTTTTACATCATGTTTTATTTGGGTTGATTTTCCCTTTGTGTTGGCAGTAGCATGAACTGTAACTGTGAGATGAATTTGTGTGCTCTTTTTAGTGTGTTGTTTTTTTTTGTGTGTGTGTGTGTGTGTTGTCTTGTAATTTGTATTTTTGCACCTCTTTGGTTGACTGTGTTGTCACGGAAACGTCGTGGCTGCCTGCTGCTTCCTCACCCTCATCATTAGATACTGAAGGAGAGCTACGAGGTAAGACGCTCTCCTCCTGACGTCTTTATTCACCGACGGACGCTGCCGTACACGACGTAGCTGTGCTTCTGTCTCGTCTTGTAACGCAACGTGTTGTTGTTAACGTGCATGGATGTAGTGGAAGAAGTCATGGATGTATTATAATATTTTGCTATTATTTCCCTGAATCATTAAAACATTTATTTTTCAAAGTTAAGGCTAAAAAATGTTGAATATTAAGTCTTAAATTTTAAGACTCATGAGAAATCACATCGACCCACAGATTTATTTTTAAATATTTAAATAGAGTTGTTCTTCGGTCCCCAAGCTAATTTTTTACCTTATTTTATAGTCTTCTATAGGGTGTTGTTTATAGAATATCAGTAAATAGTTAAAAAGGCCAGTTAAAATTTCCCACAGACTGAAAGTGACTATGAATTTTAATTTTATGTTGCAGTACTGTTGTTGGCCACTAGGAAAAAAGCTACTCTCTTAATAGTCTGTGGAAGAAGCAGTGATAAAATTATTTACTCGAAAATTGGAAAATAACATTACAAGTGTTCTGCAGTCAGATTTATAACATATTTTAGATAGTTTTAATTAAATTTGTGGAGGTTTTAAAATCTCTGCCTTTGAGATTTCTACTACTCTCCCAATATATTGTTTAGGATGTAATTGTGTGTGTGCGTGCGTGTGTGTGTCTGTGTGTGTGTGTGTGTGTGTGTGTGTGTGTGTTCAGGAGGTGCAGGAGTGCACTGTGGACATGGGGATGACCACTGACAGCTCCAACCATCCTGACAACAAGACTAAGAACAGATACAGCAACATCCTGGCCTGTGAGTACACTTTATACAGACAGACAGACAGACAGACAGACAGACAGACAGACAGACAGACAGACAGACAGACAGACAGACAGACAGATAGATAGATAGATAGATAGATAGATAGATAGATAGATAGATAGATAGATAGATAGATAGATAGATAGATAGATAGATAGATAGATACAAT